TTATTGCGGCACTATTCACAATAGCCAAGTTATGGAAACAGCCAAGATGTCCCAGCACTGACGAATGGATTAAGAAAATGTGGTATCTATACACAATGGAATTTTATGCAGCCATGAAGAAGAACGAAATGTTATCATTCGCTGGTAAATGGATGGAATTGGAGAACATCATTCTGAGTGAGGTTAGCCTGGCTCAAAAGACCAAAAATCGTATGTTCTCTCTCATATGTGGACATTAGATCAAGGGCAAACACAACAAGGGGATTGGACTATGAGCACATGATAAAAGCGAGAGCACACAAGGGAGGGGTGAGGATAGGTAAGACACCTGAAAAACTAGCTAGCATTTGTTGCCCTTAACACAGAGAAACTAAAGCAGATACCTTAAAGCAACTGAGGCCAATAGGAAAAGGGGACCAGGAACTAGAGAAAAGGTTAGATCAAAAAGAATTAACCTAGAAGGTAACACCCACACACAGGAAATCAATGTGAGTCAATGCCCTGTATAGCTATCCTTATCTCAACCAGCAAAACCCCTTGTTCCTTCCTATTATTGCTTATACTCTCTCTACAACAAAATTAGAGATAAGGGCAAAATAGTTTCTGCTGGGTATTGAGGGGGGGAGCGGGAGGGGGCGGAGTGGGTGGTAAGGGAGGGGGTGGGGGCAGGGGGGAGAAATGAACCAAGCCTTGTATGCACATATGAATAATAAAAGAAAAATGAAAAAAAAAAAAAATAAAATAAAATTATTGAGTTGCTTAAGCCTATGGACATAGACTTATAAGTTAACCAGAAACATAATTTTTACCCACTCCTTCAGCTACATCCTGTTGGCTGGAGGGTCCACCATTACTTGTCAGTAATGAACAGTGATCATACCACTTGGACAGGTTCAAGTACCTAGAGGAAGGCACAGCGACTGGCACAGTGACCACCACATCATGACCTTTGTCATTTTTATTTTTCCAAAGCCAGGTCATTTGAAATGAAATCTGGTTCCTTGCAAAGTATGCCATGCCCGAGAGATAGTGAGTGATGCTATATTATTATTATTACTTTTTACTACAGTAATTTTGCAGCACAATCTTCTCTTGATCTTTCAACTGAAGAGTTACATTTCTCTGCCTTTCCTTAAAGTGAAGGGGTTTATCATATGAAAATAATTTACTCTCTGAAGCCACTGAATCTGGACACTGCATACTTTGTAATTTCAGTTAGGCAAAAAGTACATATGTGCCTTTATTCTTAAAAACCCAGTAATCAGTATTATTTTAATAATTATCTGCTTTTCAAAATAATTTACTTAGGACAGGGCTTTGATGCAAATATTTGAAATGTGAGGAGGTGGACTCCTTTCAGCGAATGTGGTTATGGTGAGCACCAGTGGGAGCAGCCTCCATATCCCTCCTTCTCCCCAGCAGGAGTGGGCAGTTTTCAAGAACTTGTTCAAATGAATGAGGGGCTTGGGACTGAGTGTAGAGCTCAGTGAAAGATCACAAGTACATGAAGATGGAGGACATCTTTGCCCTGGCTTTGTTCCAGTTAATGACTGCTGTGAGGCTGGTAGAAGCGTTGTCACGCACCCCTCTTGCATGTTCACTGAAGGAAGAAAGACCACCATTTCCCTCCAAGGAGCTTGCATTCTGGTGGAGTTGACTCCCCTGCTCCCTAGTTCTAACTGCTTAAACAATAAAAAAAAAAGGAAGAATTTATGTGTGCGTGGAGAAGGTAATTATATGCACCACTGTGGGTCTGAAGTTTGCTGGCAGAAGTGCAAAGGTTAAACTAGTATCTATATTTACTGAGTCCTCATAATATGCAGGAATTTCTTAAACCACCAAACATGGAGAAACTCATTTGATCTTTATAAGAATCCCATACAGCCACTTGTTTTGGACTGAGTATTTGTGTATCCCCAAACACAAATGATGAAGCCTTGACCCCCGGGTATGGCCGAATCTGGAGATGGGGCCAGTAAGGAAGCGATTAAGGTTGAAATGAGGTTAACCAACAGGGTTAGTGTCCTTATGAGAAGAGACTCCAGAGAGCTCACTCTTTCTCCACACCATGTGACGTAACAGCAAGAAGGCTGCCACACAAAATCCAGGAAGAGCTTTCCCCAGACTGAATCCTATGGGACTGTGATGTGGACTTTCCAGCCACCAGAACTGTAAGAAAATACAGGTCTGTGCTCTGAGCACCTCTGGCTGTGGCATTTCGTTATGGCAGCCTGAGATGCAGATACAAAGGCGATATTACACCCCCACTTCCTTCTAGTCTATAGGCTAGGCTGCCTATACAGGTGGAGCACCTGCTGGCCAGACTCTGAGCCAGCTCACCTGTGCTCCTGCCAGGTTTCCAGCAGAGACAAGATTGAAAGAAAGAAGTGGTTTTTATTCTTTTAGTACATATAATATTGCTTTGTAAGTTTTTATGCTTTAAACAGTGATCCCATGATATCTCCCCTTTAACTTGTCACTTTACTTAGGATAGCTGTTATTGTACAGGAAATTTAAAATGTTAATATTGTCAAATTTCCCAGTCCTTTTTTTAATGTATTGGGCTTTGATGACTTTGAAACATCCTTAAAATAACTAAAGTCTGAGATATTCCTATTGTATTTTTCTACAAGTTTTAAAGTTTTATTTGTTATATTTAGGTCTGTATCTGCTACTCTTTTCTGGGAATTTCATGGCGGTGGTTCTTATTGGTCTATTTGGGTAACCAAGTTGTCCACCTCACTTGAGCCCACTAATTATATACTGCTCCATTTATCTCTTACTGTCAACTTATGACACCCATGACTTTCCCTCTTTCTATAGTCCTTGTCTGGGATTGATTTCATTGTTCTCTTAGCGTCATGAAATAAAATGGAGGAGAATTTTTCTTTTTCTATTCTCTTAGAATAATTTTATAGCATTTATAAAATTCATTTGTTTTATACATTTATAAAATTTCACATTTTTATAACATTTATTAAATTTGAATGATCTTTTTCTTGAATGTCTAGTACACTGAAATACATTTGGGTCTGGTACATTTCCATAGAGGTAGGTCAATTTTAAACCATGCTTCAATTTCAAAATATTAGTCAGAATTTTAGAAAATTGTCCAATTTTTGTTATTTATATTAATCAATTATAATAAAAACAATATCCTATTTCTAATATTGGTTATATGTGTTTTTCCTTTTTATTTTGATCTATCACCAGAGGTTTGTCTATGTCATTAGTTTTTGTTTACAGAACCAGGTTTATATTTTGTTGATCTTTACTATTGTTTCTTTGCATTTTATTTTAACAAATTTCTGCTCTTACATTTATTATTTCCTTTTTTCTTTCTTTCTATTCTATCTTATTGAATTACATGTTTGGTCCTCTTGTAATAACATTAACAAAGTTTAGGTACCATTTCATTTGCATTCTACAAGTTTAATATCTCCCTCCCTCAGTATCGATGGAGTGGGTATTGGTTATAGGGTCCCCTATGGATACCAAGATCTGCGAATGCTCAAGTCACTTATATAAATGTTACTATATCTGCATAGGACCTGTGTACCTTCTCCCATATGAGTTACATTACCTCTAGATGGCTTATAATACTAATATAATATAAATATATCATAAGTAGTTGTTATACTCTTGTTTAGGAAATAATGACAAGAAAATAAAAAGGTCTGCGCATATTCAGTACAGGCATAATTTTTTCCTGAATTTTCTCAAACCACAGTTGGTTGAATCCATGGATGTGGAACCCACAGATATGGAGGGCTGAATATCTGTGATACTTTCTGGTGTGTGGCTCTAAGGATTTTCTGATTTATAATAGGTATTGTACATGGACCCATGAGCTAGCAGATGTGGTTCTCACCCAGATCCTAAATGAAGAAGGATTAACTTCTTTGTGATTCCTCTAGGGCTGGTTGTTACAATCTTCCCTCCCCTCCTCTCCCAATCTGCCCCTTTTCTGACTGTCTACGTTTTGTGGATTTGGGTTTTATGTTAGCATTGCACAGGTCCAAGATGCAATTTGCCCATTCTTAGTGGCTTTAAAACTCAAGACAGAAGATTGGTTGATGGAAACTCCCACTTCTCACCAGGGTGGGCTCAAAGCAGCCTTGCCTGCTCCTGAGCATGCCTGCAACAGCCATCCTCTGTCTGCTCTCCAGACGTCACTGTGCTTCTGCCTGTGGCAGTTTTCTTTATTCTCTTGAGTGCTAAGCTACACATTTACATAGACATATGATGTATATAAACATTAAAATGTGTATTTCTATTTTTATCCAAAATTTTCAAATGTTTGTAGGAGGGTTTTCTGGTTAGGTTAATTTGTTTATCCTCTTTGCTAGAATTCTGAATATCTCCCATTTATTAAGTATATCATTATAGGAAAATTGTAATGACCTTCTTCTTCCTGGTTTGGGCCTCCTAGTACCTTCTGAGAATCGTAAGAGACACCCCTTTATGGCTCCTGCCCCAATACTGCAATTGTAGTCTGACTTATATGTTGCCTTTGTGGAGGGCAAATGTCTTCCTACTAAACTGTCTAAGAAGTAGTGGGTTTTCTTGAGTGGAGCATAACCATGGAATTGAACCTACTGTGAATAAGACAATTGTAACCTATGTATTTTCTCATTTTAATTTTGCCTTGGAAGTACTCCTACTGCATACCACTGCCGAGAATAACCACTTAAGAATTTTCTGGTTAAACAAAAATAGCACTCTTGAATGGTCACTGCAGAGAAAGTAACCCAAGGCCTTCAGGGAACACTGCAGTTCTCACTTCACAGGTTAGGATACTGAGGCACAAATAGGTCAAATCCAAACAAGGGAAGGTGTGATCCCAGCACTGCACACAGTTTAGAGCTGATTTTCCTGAGTTAAGGAATGCAGTCATGCCTAACGAGCAGAGCACCCATGGAATTTTGACACCCAACGACCAGCACTGACGCTTAAAGTATTTATGTGTACTCAATACAGCCAAATAACGGTGGCTTTTTAATATTGAGTGCTTTTCCTGTCTGTTGCAAATAAAAGCAATTCGGGATTCAGGCTATGTTTACTGGTAATTTATAAGCAAGAGAAGCAAGTGATAGGAGGAGCTGGAGTAGGTACTGTTTTGTGGAGCAGATACAATACTTCAGGAGGTTGGCCCATGCCTTACTTTTTATTACTAATTAAGCAAAGAACAGAAGGGCATTTATAGTGGTGCACGGCCAGCTTACCCTTCCCACTTCCACAAGGTTGGTCACCATTATTATGCTTGCAGTGTTCTCATGCCACACCATCCGCCAGAAGTCATAGACGGTCTCTTGCATGGGCCCTGCCACAAAACAAAACAGAACAGAACAGAGACTTTGTTTTTCATTCTTAAGTTTCAACTGGAGAATATTTTTTGAGAATGCTGAGATTTGAACTCAGGACCTTGTGCTAGCTAGGCACACCCCCAACCCTTTTTATTTTAGTTATTTTTCAGATAGGATCTCATGTTTTTGTCCAGGGATGGCCTTGGATTTAGATCTTCGTTAACTATGCCTCCCTCATAGCTGGGATTATACCATGCACCACCACAATGGCTTGTTGTTTGAGATAGGATCTTACTAATTTTCTCTCCCTGTCCTGGGCTGGCCTTGCACCACAATCCTCCCCATTTCCACCTCTTGAGTAGCTGAGATTACAAGTGTGCACCACTGTGTCTAACTCAAACTGGAGAATTTCTGGAGGTTGCAAATACATCTATTAACAGCTACATACAGATCCTTCACTTTTATAGATGGACATAACTCTCTGTTGTCATGCAGAAAGGTACTCTTCATAAAACTACACCTACAGAAACACCCACTCCTTCATTCATGGCTGAGTTTTCTCATGTCATCAAACATTATCTGCATTTGAGCTCTTCTTACCGCTCTTAAACTACTACCGTGAAAGAAAGTTATTTCTCCATCATTTATCTATTTATCTCCATAATACTCGAGAGTGAAATTTTAAAAAATGGCTAACATTACTCTTTCTGCTAACAACTGGCAGATATCCCAGGGAAGTGGTATATAGAATGAAATGAGCCTCTATAGGAAAAATGGCCTCTTCTTGTTTCTAATATTTTTCTTATTTGGTGCCATCTGTCAAATTAATCCATTTCTTTCCTCCTGACTTTCTAAAGTAAGAAGAAAAGTTACGAGTTTTAAGCAGCTGTACTTCATCTCAGTGAACATACAGAATCCCAGCAGAACATGGCCAGACATGGACTTCTTAGCTCTTGTAATCTGAGCATTCAAAAACTCCTTCCTGTGGCTTGGGGAAAAACAGGGGGTGGGGATATGTATTACAAAATGGCAGTCTACTGATACCATCAGGTGCAGAAAGTTGAAAATCAAGATGTCTTATTACCCAAATTTTTAAAAGTACCCAAACTCTACTTCACACCCATGCATACCTGAAGGTATACATGCAACAGTATAAATTTTTAGAAGACAAGACAAAATGCAAGGAAATGAGAGAAGTGCAACTTAAATTCTTGGAGTCACAGATGCATGGAGAAGCATACAAATGTTCAGGCAAATCCAGAATGAGTACCCTCTTGTACCTCAGTCTCTTGACATTACAGGTTCCTGGATTTGGAGCTCAGGTATTAGAATTTGAGATTTGCTTGTTCTTTTTTAATTTGGCTGTGTGTTTTAGAGCAAGTTACTTAACCACTGTGAGCCTTAGTGTCTTCTTTATCTATACACTCAGTATAGTAACACCTCTCAAGGTCATTTTGAGGACTCTTAGAATTAATGTGCATATAGACATTTTATAAACAGCAAAGCAATAGAAGGAGACAGGTGTGTTTAAGGATATTTATTAATGGTCATACCTGTGCTGAGAGCTGGATATGGAGTAACAGTGGCACACCCAGGGTCTTCTTAGTCACTGCCTCCCCTTTCTCTTCACCAATTAACAATTGGTTCTTGTATAATTTTCTTCCCCTTTCTCCCTACCCAAGCCTCCTTCCCTTTTCTCCAGAGCACACACTGACTCAGTTTCCTAGTATCTCTGTGTTTAATCCCTTTGGGACAGGACCATGCACATGACCTCCTGTGAAGTTATACCAGTCATTCCCCTGGCATGTGCATGCCTTTCTCCGGATGTAGAGGCTGAAGATTCAGTGACTTTAATCTAACATTACAGAGGGGACAAGTAAACATCAGATTCCATCAACCACCACATTCTAGCTTGCACAGAGGCCTCTCCATTGTGTACTTAAAAGCTTGTTACTTATTCATGAGAAAAAAACTGCACTGAGTCCATCTTTGAGCAAGCATAGCATATCCAATGTGATCTGAAAGAGGTAGGCCTTCACCTACTCTGAAATTTCCAGAAATAGTTCTGATGACAATGGCTATAGTGCATGAATCAGATGTTCTGGCACCACAGACAGGACAGCATGTACCTGCAGAAAGAAAAGTCAGTTCTCCTCTCTGTCCCCATATAAGACTTCCCAGGAACACTGTAGGCAGGGGCCCTGTTCTGCGATTCCAAACTACTCCTCACTTCTTCCTTCTCAGCAGACACATACCCTGATTACTTAGTTTAGTTTCTCCTGGAGGGGAGCACACTCTCTTGGTTTACTGCTGCTTCCTCAATATTGTTTGGAATGTCTGGCAGAGCAAGCACTCCATGAGTAAAGGAGTGGATGAGTGAGTCTGAACGAATGTGTGAAGGCGGTTGCTGTTCAAATATTACACTAAATTGCATACTGAGCACTGGATAGTATTAATGTAGAATGTCGGTCTGATCCTGATTTTCTTTCTTGATTCATATTTCTAAGATCACCTGCAGAAGCTAAGGACCCAGTGCCTTTTTCTCTTTCCAAGTTGTGGAAAGGGGGCAGCTTTTGTAAGGGTTCTTAGGATGAGAGGAATTATCACTCTGTCTTCACAGCATTGACACTGATCTGTTTTCCCAACTACTAAGCAGATCGCTCTGCTATGTTTCCCTGCCATGGCTGTGCTCCCAACCTAGCTCAGACCCTTACTGTTGGTGGCCAGAGTACAGCCCTACTTCCCAGTCATGGTTCTCTGTTGAGAAGCAGTGTTTTGAACTATTGATTAGTCTAAATCTGTCTGTGAGCTCTGTGAACCAAAGAATACATTTCTCTCTGATTTAGAAGGAACTCTACTCATTTCTCATTCCCTTTTTTTCTTTTCTCTTCTGCATATTTCAAACCATTTCCAAGATCTGAATACATTATTTCTCACAGGTATATGTTTCCTTATAAAATAAAAATTGTACTGTCCAGAGAGGAAGCACACCTGATTATCACCCAAGAGCTGCTCCATGTGATTTTAGTAGCTCATGTCAGGGTCTTAGTGGTGGTGGCCATTGTGAGCCAACAGAGTCTACAGGTGTGGGCTGGGAATACAAAGAGCCCCCAAGAACTGAAATGCAGGGAGGAGCCTGAGATGTCTCAGGCTGCTGAGACATTTGCCTCCCAAGGTCACTGGGGATTGCTCAGAGTGGACACACAACCTGATTCCCCAGACAAGGAATCTCACACAGAAGGCAAAGGACTCTGTAAACCCTCCCTCTCTCAAGGTAACCCAGCATTTGATGTCTATGGCTTCTGGCTGGATGGGAGCTACCATAATTGCCATGGCAGTGCATTTACTGATGTTCGCACAATGTGTAGGAAGGTTATTCTCAGCAGTTGTCCCCCAGTGGGACTATAGCATTTGAAAGATAAGGTCTAGAAATTTCAATAATATCAGGCCAGTAATACATTTCATTTCCTTCACAATAGTTGGCACGCACAGACCTCTGCTGAGAAGGAATGTACAAGGGACTGTTCATGGCCTCCAAGCCCCAAGGAAGAAAAAGAAAGGCAGAAAGAACTAGAGTACAAGAAAAGATGAAATGCAACAAAAAGCATAAGTGAAAGACATTCAAGGATGGCCTCTATTGTATAAGATGAGTTCTCTAGTTCATGGGAAGAGAGAGAGATTACAAATAATAATTTCAAACCTTGATAAATGACTTGCACCCCTTTTCACATTAGCATCGCTATACAGTGTGTTTCCCTGTTAACTAAAGCTGCTAAGAAGTCAAGGTCCTTTGAAAGCTCACAGTGTTGTATTCTAGTTTTTTTGAAGCAAAGCACAAATACCAATTGGTGTTCCATCATATATAGAGTAAAATCGAACATCTTTTGAACAATTTGTACTTCCCAGGTCCTGTTTGAAATACCACATATTATCTCATTAAATTTAGACATCACCATCCCATGAAATAAGTTTTATTCTCCTTCCTCATTTTATTGAAAGGAGACTGAGGCACGGAGAACCTGAGTGAGTTGCCCAAGGTCACACAGCCAGTGAGCTGTTAGACTGAACTTCTTCCCTTTCCCCTTTCCCTCCCTCCCTCTCTTCCTCTCTCCCTCTCTCCCTCCTTTGCTTCCTTCCTTTGTTTATCAAGATCTCACTATGTAGCCCAGCTGGCCTGGAACTCTCATTCCTCCTGCCTTAGCCTCCCAAGTTCCAGGATTAAGAGGCTAGGTTTTGAGCCATGTGGTCTGACTCCTTCCATTCCATCTGAATATTGAGAGCAACTTAAAAGGATTCAAATAGACAGGTGTGTACTCTACAGTCCCCATGAGAGGAAAGCAGAAGAAAACCTACATCAGTCACAGGAAACCAGCATCTTCGAAAGTGGTTTTACATGGGGTCACTTTCCTCCTTTAACATCTCCAGTGGCCTTCAGCTGAGACAGAATAAAATCAAACTTCATGAGCACAGCAGGCTCTCAGCTTCTCCAACAGCTCCAATCTTTCTGGTGAGCCATTTCCAGAGCACAGCCCTTCCTGTTTCCCTCCCTCCTTTCCCATCCCCCCTCCAAGCCCTCACCTTAACAGCTCACCTGAAATACCAAATCCCTCCTATATACTTCCTGCCCCTCAGCCAGACTTCATCTCTGAAAAACGTAAATTCCATCATGTCACTTTGCTACTTAATATTTTCCAAGGGGTACAGAGTAGAACCCGTATTTTTGCTTTGGCAAGTGCACCTCACAGCTTACACCTCAAGCGGGGTCTGTACGTTGGTTATCTGAAGTTCTGCTCTTTCCTGACCACATTCCTCCATCATGCCTCTTTGTGGGTCCTTCCTCCCATGTCAATCAAAGCCTACTTTAGCAGGCTGAAGGTCACTTCCTCAGACTACTTTTCTAAGACTGAAGTTAACGCTCTCCGTGTTTCACTATGTTCAATGTCACTTGCGGAGTCAGTATGTTCTTTCTGCATGTTTTTCTCATTGGTCTGTGAATGGGGCCTCTGACCCCTTGCTT